CCAATAAATAAATTTAATGAGAAATACAAATCCTATGTTATGTATGTACCGTAATCTGTAGTTTATCAAAGAGGTACGGTATGGGAAAGGGACGATGAGACAAATTAATGAATCGGACATAAAATTCATATAAACTCGTAAAACTATGATCTGTTGGACCCCTGAATACGTGTCCAAAACACCCCTCACTCTCACCCCCTATAGCGATGACTGACATAAATCTCTGCCATAGAAATAAATTTAAGTTTTCAGAGAAAAAAGTAAATTATTTAAACATTTTTTCATAAACTATTCACAGAATTGGAAAGTAATAAATCTTATGTTAAAACAACAAAAATAATACTCAAACTCATTATAATTATTATTTGTATACAGATTGTAACGCATTTTAATTTTAATTAACAGTTAAATACCATTTGATATACAGTTATATCAGAGACTGATCACAAGAATTTCATTATTAAAAGCAAATATTTGTCTCACAGTTTTGCGGTCTTAAGATAATATTGAATTTTGTAATCTATATCGTTATCACTAGTTATTATTACTTCAAATTGAAGTCTTCAGTGCACACAAAAAATTAATCAAAATTAAGTAAAGTTTTTGTTTGGTATACAAAACATTCATCTCATAACCAAATCAATTCAAGACAATCACTATTACATTATATTATATAATTCACGTGTTTTTACACTATGTTTGTCTCATTTTTCATACAATCAATGAATAGATCACTGGAATTAACAAATATTTTTTATTAAAGCTAGTTAAACAAGCACTTCTGTCTATCAGTCAAATATACAGCTTATGGATGTGCTTGATTAATTTGCACACAATATGCATGTGCATGCTTACAGAATCTGAAGTGAGTGCTGAACAAATAATACAGTATAAAAATATTACAGTAAAAAACAATAATACTGTATTGCAAATGTTACAGTAATATGATACCAGTATTTAATCAGGTGTTGACCACATTTATTATGTAATATGTATGCAATTGTTTCAAACACTTTCAAACTATCGCCGAGATTTTTGTAACGGTATACTGTAATTGTATTAAGTATTAAAACTAAATGGTGAGCAATTTTATTTCATAATTTCTTTGTCAAAGTGTGTGAAACTTTTGCGGCATAACTCTCGAGAGCTTACGTATAGCCAACCCTATGATGCCTTAAACTCGTATAATAAGTGCACTTTCATTGCCTGTCAATAGAGAGCGTTGTGTTGAAAAGTTTGTCACAAAATGTAAACACAAAAAAGCAAATGATTTTAATTGATATGAAAAGTGAATTGAAAACGCATTTGATTTCATGCGACAAATAAATGCCACCAAAACTCAAACCAATAAGTGATTTGTTTTAAGACATGAATTATGGCTGAAGTGGGAGTCAATCCATCACTTGCTGTGAGTCACCCATTGAATGCCCTTTCCATCCATTACTTGATTGAGAAGTTTGTTTGTATTTATGTTTTCATCGTTTGATGCCATCGTTGGTGTCATTGGGTGTCAACCCATAGGCCGACGATATGAGTGCCGATGACAGCGAAGAGGTTTGTAGTGATCATAGCATTCATGTCTTCGCTATGTATGCTATCATTATGTGGTCTCTTGTGACAGGAAGTGGAGCCGAAGTTGACGTACGAGCGGATCAATAATGACGTGTCAGTGATCCTCAAGAAGGAGTCGGCCACTTGTCTGGCCGTCCACTCCCGGGTCAGTCACCAGACTATAACCACTCATATAATGGCACTAATGGTGTGATTGTGTTGCAGTTCATAGCATTGGGCACACATTTGGGCAAAATATATATTATAGACGTTTTGGGCAATAGAGTCAATGAACGGGAACTGCCTTTGGTTTGTCTTCACGTCATTCAATCACTTCTTTTCACTTAATGTTTTGTTTTTGTCCACAAAAGCATAAGTTATCCGTCAATCAGATCAGTATCGATGATATGGGAGAATATATAGCCACCAGTTCTGATGATAGGGTATGTGATCATCGATGGCAACAGTTGTGTCATCTTAAAAGTGCTTACAATTGTTGTGGTATTTGAATGAATAGATAGTAATCAATGGTTTGTATTCAACGGACAACAACTATCACTCATCTTTCGACCGACCCGTCAGAGCCATAGCTATTGACCCGAAGTTTAAGACCACAAAGCGTTTTGTTGTGGGAGAAGCTGATAGGGTGTGCCCACACACTTGGCTCACAATTAGTTGCATTTGTTTTAAACTATTTTGTGATATCCAGGTACTCCTATTCGAGAAGACACTTCTGGCCCGATATAGGACTACAGTTCTGCAGCAATCGAGAGGTCACATCCGAAACATCCGGTGGCGAACCAACTTCATCGCGTGGGCCAGCGATCAGTGCGTTAAGATATACGACGTTCAGGACAGGGTTGTCATCACTTGTATTAATAGGGAAAAAGATAATGACCTCCAGAGGTATGTTCAACACAACAATTGCCTCAACGAATGGCATTTAGTTATCTTAATTTCGTGAACAGGTTTAGACCGGAACTGTTTCGCTGCCATTTCTGTTGGAAAGACGACAGGACTTTACTGATAGGATGGGCCGACTCTATAAAGATATGTTGTATAAAACAGAAACAAAACAGCAGTGAACTGCCCCGTCGTTATGTCGAACTCAGTAAGTGTTTAGTCCATAGATTTTGAGATCTTTAAGACTCTGACCTCTTTGTGTGGCCCACAGCCGCCTCATTCAATGTAGGGTTCGGTGTCTGTGGTATAGCGCCGATAGAGTCCAAACTAGTGGTGCTTTGTGTCAATAAAGACGCCAACGAATTAAACAACTCTTACAACTGTAGGGTTGAAGTGATAGAACCCATTGGGACTGATAATTACGAAGAGATATCGAGTGACATATTGTCTCCAAAGTCGTTCAACAGTTGTCGCAGTAATGACTATCACGTCGAGTGCCTACCAGAAGAAGGACTGTATCTGATTCTGTGTCCCAAAGACCTAATTGTGGCCAAACCTCGCGAAGAGGACGATCACGTGACGTGGCTTCTGGAGCACCAACAGTACGAGGAGGCGCTGGAAGTCGT